TGGTTTTTTATTTAAAATTAGATTTTTTTTGCAATTTCAGTTGAGAAAATAATCTTTTTTTTTATTATTTAAACCATAATTTGATTATTTTTCAATTTTTTCGTGGGAAAATAATCATTTTTTGATTATTTTACTCAAATAATTGATGGACGAGAAAGTGCCGCCCCAGAAGAGCAGACCATATCCTGAGTCTGGACACACCCAGGGCGAAGTAGAAGGCTCTTAACAAGCGCAGGAGTACAGGAAACGCGGTTTAGCGTCGGCCCAGGAGTGGAGAAGAGTCTCACTCGCGACTCCCGCGGTGTCCGGACAGCTAATTGTCAAACGTGGCCTCTTATTTACATTGCGTTGACAGCTTCACTGTCACCTTCCGTGTCACAACTGCCCGCTCGAAGCGCCATCTAACGTTGGATAGCTGAAATGTGCATCATTCATTTATTTCCGAAATACATTCATCCCTCACAGTGCATTCCCTCGGCCAATGGCAACAATACCAAAGTTCTGAGACATTCTCCTAGGACAAGTCTCTATGAAGTGGCACTGAATTGTCCGCGGACTCCCATAAGACAGAGAGTATAAGATCGACATCCTCAGGCCCAGGTGTTTTCATCCTACAATATGTGCAATGGTAAGTCTGTAACCTTTTAATACCCGAAGTCATCAGAGACACTGTGACAAGTCAATGGACATTCACGAATATGTCATATGCCAACGACTATCGGGATATAAAGACACGCTCGCGCATTTTGTTTCTTTGCAGCACGTTTATTTTTATCCATTTATCTGTCATCGAAGAATTTCCATGTTTTCAAACATTGAAAAAAGGTGTTTCGACTTTACAACACATTATGACGTTTCTCTTTTCACTTGGTTAATTGACAAAAATTAATTTGGTCGTGAAGAATTTGTTAACAAGAAGTGGTTTTTATTTTTTTTTCTTTCTTTCTTTCTAAATTCAAAATGACGTGCTAAACTGGCGTTTTTTTTTTCATCTTCTTCTTTTTCTATATCATCGTATTTTTTTGTTGTTGTTAAAGCTCTCGAAGGAGTCTTGTTTTTGTCATATATATAGTTTTTTTTTAATTTAACATTATCTGCACGTGAGAAATTAAAGCTTCTTAGAATCAAGGGGGAGATAATATGGTTAATCAGTGTACAATATTTCCTGACATTTCTACAAATTCCGAGAAAGAATCACTCTAACAGTGCTTAAAACATCCCAGTAAAAACAACCACGATGGAAAACCGCGGGATTCCCACCGGTTGCGGTCTCTTGTTCCCCAGTGGATTTTTGACGGAAACTTCCCTCGGGATTCCCGCAGATTTTTCCATACACAAATTTGTATGGAGTCTGTCTGCGGATATCCACTGGTTTTTCAATGGGGACTCCTGCAGGGAAGTCAATGGTTTTTCCACACCTCTTAAGCCCGTCAAAGAAACCTCTTTGACCTCTTTTCAATGGTTTTTCAGTGGATTTTCCTGCAGGAATCCCACAGGAAAGTCAATTGAAAATCCTTCAGGGATAAAAAGGACCCAAAACGATGGATAATCGATGGACAGTGGATTGTGTTTTTACTGGGATCCGTTATCCGCCGTTTTTCCACCGATTTTTCCGTCATGTTGCCTCCAGAGCCCAAATTATGATTTTCTGGATTCCTGCAGGAAAATCCACCGTCAAATCCACCATGTGAAAATGACGGAGTTCACACTGCGGGATTCCACTTAAGAATCCTTAAAGCCAAATCCCTTTTCACTAAACTGAAGGACAAACGGTGGAGGGATCTTGCAAGATTCCTTCAGGAATCTCGAATTAAAATTCCTTTACTTTAAAGACCGTACAAATGCCGGAGACATCCTGCAAGATTTCACCAGGAATCCTGCAGGCAAAATCCCTCTTTCTGAGTGGCTGAGACGCTGGAAGCGCCGGAACGAATGATTTGCCATGACGGATTATTGCTGGAATCTTGCGAGAGAATTCCACCGCAATTCCGGTATCTTCTTTCTCAAATACCGGAATCGCGGTGGAATTCTCCCGCAAGATTCCTCCACTTTTCCGCTATTTGAGATGAGAACGGCGGAAACGCGGCATTCCTGCAGGATTCCTGCAGGCAAATCCGACACAAATCCGACATTTACGGTCCTTTTGGCAATTGCTGGAATTTCAACGGATCATCTTGCGTGATTCCGGCAAGGAAATCCGGTAAAATTCCGCCATTGTCCTTGCTGGAGTGTCAACGCGATTTTCCCCTAAAATTCATAAATAATAATAAATAGCGGAATCATCCGGTGAAAATATTGTGGAATTCCGCGTATTTTTTCCGCGAACAGCGGATTTTTGGTGGAAGATTCCGCTGCGGAAAACAGGGTCTTTTCAATGCTCCATAACATTGTCACAACTAAATTTTCAAATCTTTCCCAACGGTTATATGACCGTCATAGGACAGTTTGGTGTCGCTTGGGTTGTAAACCACTTCTGGACCATAATATCTCCCCCTTTTTGCTTAGGACAAATGTAATAAACCATGACTTATAATATCGATTCCATTTCATGCGTAACTCTTTCATTTCTTTCCTTTTTTTTGCATTTATCAGTGAACTTTTCAGCATTCCGATAAAATATCAAATGATGAAAAAATATATTCGAGTATCACATATTTTTGCAATTAATTGAAAAGTCTAAAATACTCCACTAAATATGTATATATTTCTTCTCTAGAGAGACTTTTTTTTTTCTTTCTTCTTCTTCATATAGAAAAATTATATATGCTGGTGTTTCAAATGTATGAAACCATACAGGTTTTCGAGGAAATATATCTCTTTTCTTTTGGCCCATTTACATTTAACACTGAGTATTTTTAATATGTTTTATTTTTTCTCTCTTTCTCTCCTATTTTCCAAACACGAAAGAAGAGTTCTTGAGATGATTGTGGGAAAAGACAAGGGGCAAATCACAAGGCGACTGTTGAGGAAATTTAATGTTAACTAATTAAAGAAATAATTTAAAAATGAATTTTTTTCAAAGCAAAATTAAAAAAATAATCAAATTTTGAATAAATTTTTTTTTAATGTTTATTTTCTCAATTAAAATTGAGAAACCTAATCAAAATAATCAAATTCTGAATAAAATAACTTTTAAAAATGTTTATTTTCCCATTTGAAATTTAAAAAAATCAAATTCTGAATAAAATAATCAAAAAAATATTTATTTTCTCAAGTAAAATTGGAAAAAACATCTAATTTTGAATTAGAATAATAAAAAAAAATATTATTTCATCAAAATAAATCAGAATTATTAAGTTCCGAATAAAATAATTTAAAAAATGTTTATTTTTCCAATTAATATTGAAAAAAATACACATATTGAATAAAAAATAATTTAAATAGGATTTTTTCCCAAGTAAAATTAAGAAATAATCGATTTCTGAATAAAATAATTTAATAAAATGTTAATTTTCCCAATTAAAATTGAAAAATAATCCAAAAAATCAAATTCTGAAAAAAATAATTTTTTAAAATCTTTTTTTTCCCAATTAAAATTGATAAATAATCAGAATTTGCATAAAATAATAAATTTGAATAATAAATATTCAGAAAATAAACAGAATATTGTATGAAATATTCCAAATTTGACTAAAAATCACAAATAATCACAAAGTCAATGATCTCAAATCGCCATTGATTGCCCCCTCGGGGAAAAGAAGGGAGTTTTTTCTTCTCTCATTTGCTTTTTATCTTCGAGGCAAAGTGACATGAATAAATGCTCAACATCTATAGGATTGATTTAACATCTTTTTTTTTTGTCCAATAAATATCTTATCAATATATTTTTTAATATTATTATCAATATAGTATAAGTGAAAGTTAACAATAAAGTATTTCCACAGGTTTCTTTTTCTTTTTTTCATTCGAATCTTAACAATGAGTCCATTAAATATATATTTAGAGTTACCATGCGACAGCATTTCATTATGATTTTGATCCCAAATTTGTTTCTTTTCATCAATTATTTCTTATTATTATTATTTGAACAATTATAACATCAATAAATAGATTTTGAGAGCAAAAATTGTCTTTTGCGCTCAATTGCGGATTCACGTCTCGGCTGTACTAAAAGAAACAGAAACACTTCAACGCACACTGTGATGTGGTGTGTGTCTCGACTTTGAGGACGGTAAGGAAGATTCGTGCGAATCAAGAGGGAAATAATATGACAAAATCACACCTTTTACACTTCAATTATGACAATCTTATCAAATATTCTTGGTTCGTTTTTCACCCTGAAAACTATTTAGCGATTTTTTTCATAGATTTTTAGACGTTTTCTAGCAATATTTGTTATATGAATCAGTTTTAAGTCCATTTTCCATGGTTTTCAAGTCTAAAAAAAATCCTAAACTAATTTCTCTTGATAGAATTCAGTAAAGAGAGTTAAAAGGACGTAATAAGTGAACGCTTAAGAAATTCAAACCGCCATAACTCAGGTTCTATGGCAGTAACAAGACAGTTTAACCCCATTTTAGAAACGTCTCGATCTGGACTATCGAAATACGTAAGAAATGATCTCAAATTAGTGTGACTTTGGAACAAAATTTTTCACTTAAAAATTTTAAAAATTTTGTCATTACCATTAGCGCCTTTGGTGGTGATCTGATGAACTTCTGTTGTTCTAAATAGTTTTAGAGTTCTGCAAGAGCTTTCTAATGAGCCTTAAATCGTAACGATCGGGCAAATAGAATCGAAGTTATAGCGTATTTAAAATTAAAACTTTAAACCGTCATAACTCCGGTTCTATTGCATTCACAAAAAACTATAACCTATTTTTAGAGACGTCTTAACCTGGACTACAACATACTAAATTTTTATCAAAATGCATAACAGATTTGCCGAGATACAGGCGTTTAAAGTTTTTTTTAATATGGCGTCAGTTGTTATGACGTCAGGAGACTAATGTTCTGTGGTCTATAAGCCTACTAAAGGACGTCGAGGCACGTCTTTTGGTGAAGGTTTGATCAAAATCGGTTAATAAACCACAGAGATATTGACTGGTAAAAGTGTGAACTTTGACCTTCCATATCTCCGCTCCCAAAACATCAAGCCTTACAAGTAAGGTATCGTTGGAAAGGTCTCAATCTCAGCTATAACATACTAAGATTTCAAGAAAATTCACAGTCTAGTTTTCGAGATATTCGATTTCGAGATTTCAAAAATGGCTTTTTTGTCTTTAGCGCCTCTAGCGGTAGCTATAGCAAGTTATGATGCTCGGATAAAAGATTGCATTTTATGAGATCTTTCTAATGAGCTTTGAATTATTCAGATCGGATGATTAGAAGCGGAGCTGTAGCTGTTTAAAATTTCAAATTTTGATCCTTAATATCTGGGGTCTGGAAGGTCCTAGGTTCTTAGGTGGTGGTTCGTTGGAAAGATCTTGAGGCTAGCTATAACATACTAGAATTTGGGCCAGATTCGTAACATAGGACCTGAATTAATGACGAAAAAGTGTTTTGATGGTGTTCAAAATGGCGGATAAAGGGTTTGTGTGTTGGATTTGACATCATCAAAAACCGGAAATAAGCAAAAAAATTTGAAGTGTAAGTTGGATTGACTTTTAGCCATAATATCTCCCCTTTGATGGAAGTGAAAGGATGCAAAATGCCTACAAATCCTCATCTTTGGGCGCTTCAGGAGCTGTTTTGTCCTGAATCTGATCCGTGTAGTCACTCTCGTCCTCCGACTCCACATCCTCTTCATCCGCCTTCGTCACTGACGTCTTCACCTTGTACTCCGGCTCATCGTCAGATTTCTCTGGATAGTTCTGGATGCCGAAGCCGTTGTCCTGGACACTCTTCCTTCGGCGTCGCTCCTGCTCCTCGTCCACCGACAGGATCTCATGCAGTGGCTTCCTGAGGCCACGTCGCGCCTGATCGCACAGCCGAAATGCCTCCAGGAACTCATTCAAGTCCACCGCGCCGTCCTTGTTGATGTCCATCATCTTGCACATCTCAAGCAGTTCCTCCTCCGTGCCATGCTCGGGCAGGTGCTTGTGCAGAATGTGACACGCCTCGGCGAACTCCTCCAGTGAGATCTGGCCGGAATTGTCCTTGTCCAGGATCCGGAAGATCGCCTCCAGGCTTGTCTTGTTGCGATACAGCGATTCAGCCACAGAAGCCGAATCCGGATTGGTTTTCTGTGTTGCAGACAAAAACGCGAGAGAAAGAGCATTGATTAAAGGCTAATAACCTTGGATTATGGTTGGAAATTAAGTGTTGGGAAGTGTCATTGAGAAATTCATTTCAGTTTTTCATGGTTTTCAGTCTCATAGAAGACTTAATTGGGACAATTCGTGATTATTCAATCAGTTTTTTGATATTTTTATGAATATTTAATAAAAAATTTGATTATTTCATACAAATTCTGACTATTTTTTTTATTATTTTATTCAAAATTTAATTTTTTAATTATTTTATTCCAAATTTTATTATATTTTTCAATTTTTCTTTGGAAAATGAATTTGTTTGATTATTTTATTCAAAATTTTCTTATATTTTTCAATTTTACTTGGAAAAGTTAATTTTTCTTTGTTTTTTGTATTCAAAATAAGTTATTTTTCAATTTTACTTGGGAAAATAATAATTTTTTGATTATTTTTCAATTTTAATTAGGAAAAAAATATTTTTTTTAATTATTTAATTCAGAATTTGATAATTTTTCAATTTTACTTGAAAAAATAATAATTTTTTGATTATTTTTTCAATTTCTTTTGGGAAAAAAATCTTTTTCTTGAATATTTTTTTCAAAATTTTATTATATTTTTCAATTTTACCTGTGAAAAAATTCATTTTTTTTTATTATTTAGTTTAGAATTTGATTATTTATTTTTTTTTTACTTGGGAAAATAATAATTTTTTGATTATTTTTCAATTTTACTTGGCAAAATAACCAGTTTTTAAATTATTTTACTCAAATAATTGGATTATTTGATTAGAAAAGATTAAGTTTCCTCAAAAGTCGCCCCTTGTTTATTTGCCCCTTGGATTCAATTGAAAAGTTATACTTTCATATGCGGATGCATAAGTTTTCCAACCCTTAAATCACCCTCAATTTGTGGAAAAAGTTTTCCAAAAATAAATACCATCTGCTTTCCCGGAAAAACCAAATTGGATTTGGTTGTTTGGCTAAATGCAGAAAAATACCTCTTCGACACACGGATATGAAACAATTCCATTTCGAGGAGGAGTTTAATAGCAAACGTGTGTTGAATATCATTTGCATAAAAGCTCAACTACTGAAAGTATTGTTTTAACACCACGAAAACACTGTCAACAGAGCGAGAGAATTGAGAGATTTGCAGTGTTTTGTAGCTTGAATTTAAGTAATTCAGGATCAATTTCTCTAGATTTTCCCTTTCCTTTGTGTGTCTAATTGGTGGTTTTCGTAATTGGCTCCGCCCATTAATTAGCCCCGCCCAGTTTAACTCTTCATTTGACCATTTCTTACAGTGCCTTCAATTAGAAATATCCTCTTCTCCTTCCACTCAATTGTGAAAAAGGATAATAAATGAGCGCTCCAAACAAGGGGCAAGTCATAAGGTAATTTTTTTTAGGAAACTTGAAAAATAATCAAATTATGATTTTAATAACCAAAAAAAAAGATTATTTTCTCAACTAAAATTGAAGAAAAAAATCTAATTTTGAATTAATAATCACAAAAAAGATTATTTTTCTAAAGTAAATTTCCAAAAAAATCAAAATAACCAAATTCTGAATTAAAAAAATCAAAAAAAGAATATTTTCTCAAGTAAATTTTGAAAAAAAAACCTATTTTGAAAAAAATAAACAAAAAAAATTTTTTCAAGTAAAATTACATAAGATCTCAAAAATCAAATAAAAATATTATCAAAAAATTATTATTTCCCAAAATAAAGTTGAAAAAAAAAACAATTTTTGAATTAAATAATCAAAAAATGATTGTTTTTCAAATTAAAATTGCAAAATAATCAAATTTTGAATAAAATAATAATAAAAAAAATAAAAAGTTTCCAAAGTAAGATTGAAAAAAAATATCAAATCCTAAATAGAATTAAAAAAAAATCCAAAAATAATCGAATTTTAATGAAAAATTCAGGAAATAATCAAAATTAATAAAATAATCAGAAAATAATAAAAAAAAAAATATTTCAAAAATAATCGAGTTTTAATGAAATATTCAGAAAATTATATAATAAAAAATTTTAAAATAAAATCAGAATTAATTTATAAATCAACAGAATTTGTCTGAAATAATCCATTTTTTAATAAAATATTAAGAAAATAATCAAAAAATATTTTAAAAATAATCAAATTTAAATCAAATATTCAAAAAATAATCAGAATTTTGTACGAAAAAATAAAAATTTGTACTAAAATCACAAAATAATCGAAAAACATTGAATAATCACAAAGCTAATGATATAAATCTTGCGCGACTGATTAGCCCCTTGGCTCCAAAATGTGCAGAAAGGATGAAAGAAGAACTTCTGAGCTCACGATAAATCAGTTGTTCTCCGGATCGTATTGAAGCCACTCTTATTGTCTTCAATTACGGGTAAGTGGGGCAGCTTCAGATTCAAATGCTGTTCCACTTTAGGATTTTTTCTTGAAAAATCGGCTGAATATATTGAAATGATCACAACGCTCAAATAAACTCTCGTCTATTGAGCTTCAGAAAATGCCTTTCATTGGGCATTAAAACTGATCCTTTTTCCTCTAAAGGAGAATGAAAATAATATTGTAAATAATCTGAAACTGCCCCGCACGGGGATGTTTCGGATTGCTCTGGGGCAGCTTCAGATTTTCACTGATATTTACCTTAAATTCCATTGTGGAATTGTAGAATCGCGGACAAATGATCACTTGGTTTCTTCTACGCACTGAAACTGTTTATTTCGCTAAAAATCGCCTTTAAAGTAATATTTTCGCGACTTTTCTGGACCCTTGCACGCACTGTCAAAATTCTGAGCGAAAAGCAAGTTGCCCGTCATTTTTCCTGTGTCGCAACGCCACCATGCGTGAGTGGTGGCAACTTCAGTGCCACCAAAATCAAATCAGTGCAAATCAGTGATTTTCGCGTGTATTTTCTCACTTTTCCACTAAGAAGTCGTTTAACGTGATGAAGCAATGCAGCACAGAACGGCACTTTGTGAAAAATCTTCAATATTTGCCACAAGAAAATTTCGACCGTGATGTTGCGTCAGACTGTCAGAGCGCGCTGTTGTCAGTCCGTGGCGATCCGAAGCTGCCCCGTGTGCAGTGTTTGTGCATTTTCCACCACCCACTGAAAAGGCCGTGCCAAGGAGGAAAAGTTCGGGCACATTTAGAATCTCTACTTAACTCTCAAGAACCTTTGATTGTGTTTCACGCGAATTGTGGCTTTTTAATGGAGAAAACACGCAATCAATTCGGCAGCAAAATTCTAGTTTGTGAGTGATTTTCAATTTTCACTTATTTTATCTAAACAGTAAAGGCTATCCTGTGCAAATTTTCGTCAATTGTAGTCCTTAAGGACTACAAACATTGTGTGAAGACCAGGAATTTATTCATGCAAAAATCTCTGAGAAAATTAAGAAATCTGAAGCTGCCCCAATCTGAAGCTGCCCCATTTACCCCTACACGCCTGTCTTCATTAAAACTCTCTCCTTCTCAATTAAGGCTCAAATTGATTTTCACTGAAATTGTAAACTCACCATCGAGTCCGAGTCGAGGAGCTCGAGTGTCTTGGCGTACTTGACGGTCGTGGGTGGCTGATTGGGGTCAAGAGGAGCCAGGCGGTCGCGCAGCAGTCGCCACGGAAGGCCCAGGAAGGTCGCAGCCTCCATGGCTTCACACCATTTGGCCAGCGTGAGAAGGCCTGCAACGGAACAGACAGTGTTGTGCCTTTACATGGTAAAAAATACCTCTTTACATTTTACACGTAAAGAATGTGTAAAAAATGTAAAATGTAAAGTAAAATGTAAAATGTCAAGTAAAATGTAAAAATTCTTTTCTGAAGTTTAAAAAAACTACTGAAATTCTCGTGGAATTCCCGTGGAATTCCCGTGGAATTGCAGAAAATACTTTTTGTCACATACGCGAGAAGACACAAAATTGTAAAGAAACAGTGAAAACTCAGGAAAATCTGCAAATTGTTGGCATAATTGAGTAAGGTAAGTTAATAATTCAACAACTGATGTTCCAATACATTTGTTTGATGGAATATCGAAGTTTTACTCTTATTTTACAAGAAAATTTGCTAATTGAACGTATATTTTTTTGTATTCTTTCCGAGGTGCTTCTGCTGCCGATTAACCATCGGGGAAAATACCAAGCAAGGAAGAAGAAAGTTCATTCAGCAATGGACAGGTCTATGGAATGTCGGATCGCATTTTATAAACTTAATTCTTTGGATTTTGGGCAAGAGAAGACGATTTCATGCCGATTGCTTCATTTCGTTGTTTTTTGGCGAATAAAAACCACTTTAAGCACACTTGAGTCTTCTGACAAGCGCTTCGGACATCCCAGGAACCCCATAGACGCCCGCAGGATATGCTTCGATGGCCAATTCCGAACTAAACGGCTCTTCAGAGATCATCTTCACATCCCTGGACAGAAAAGGACAATGTGACAGTTGCTTATTATGCTCATCCAGAATGCACAGCGGGAAAAACCAATGTTTAGCAAATATCTTGGCATGAACTTCAAGGATTGCACGAGATTCAATTTTTGCCTAAGAATCATAAAACCGAGAAATCTGTCTGCACATTTTGGTCTTAATTGCCTAAACGAGGGTAAAATTCACAAAACTCTTCTAATGATTTTGGCTTCATGGAAAAACGCCTGAAGTAAATTCCCGATATTAACAAATGTTCGATTCGAAAAATTGAACCCAATTTTCATATTTTACATTTTTTCTTTACATGTAAAAAAAATTGTGTGTAAAGAAAACATATTTTACCATGTAAAGAATTGTGTAAAAGTAAAAATGTAAAAATTTCGCCCAACACTGGGAACAGTGATAAATCAGCAACTCGCCGCGAATTGCACTGCTGCCTTTCGTCCTTTTGCCTCCCTTTTTGCCTCCCTTTCTTCGGCTCCCTTTTTGGCACGGCGACTCTGTGTGACAAACTAACTTATATATCCTGCGGCGCTTTCACTTCCGCCTCCGATCCGTCACTGTCTGGCAAATGGCGGTTTGAGGAACACTTCATTTCCCATTTATTCCGCCAGTCACTTTTGTCTATTGTTGAGAAAATATTCTTTTTTTAAAATTATTTAATTCAATATATGGTTTTTTTGTTTTTTTTTGTAATTCTATTTGGGAAAATAAACTTTTTTTTCAATTACTTAATTCAGAATTCGGTTATTTTGATTATTTTTCAATTTTAATTAGGAAAATAATCATTTTTTATAATTATTTTATTCAAAATTTGATTATTTTGCAATTTTATTGCAGAAAATAATCATTTCTTTTATTGTTTTACTCAATAATTGATTATTTTTCAAAAGTTACCTGAGAAAATGTTCTATTTTTTAAATTATTGAATTCAAAATTTTAATATTTTGATTTTTTTGTCATTTTATTTGGGAAAAGAAATTTTTTTTCAATTATTTTTCCATTATTGTTTGAGAAAATATTAATTTTTTGACTATTTTATTCAGAATTTTGTTATTTTGTGTTTTTTTGTGATTTTACTTGGGAAAATAATAATTTTTTAAATTATTTCTGTCAAAATTTAATTATTTTGCAATTTTACTTTGAAAAAAATTCATTTTTTGATTATTTAATTCAAAATTTGTTTTATTTTTCATTTTTATTTTGAAAAATCACCATTTTTTAAAATTCTTTATTCAGAATTTGATTTTTTTCAATTTTTTTTAAATTTTAATTGGTAAAATAATAATTTTTTTATTTTACTCAAATAATTGGATTATTTAGAATAGAAAAACAACGAAGAATTCACCGTCGATAATTTCAACTCTTTCCAACTTTTCGCATGAATTTCAATCCCTCGTGAATTTGGAGTGAAATTGTGTGAGGAAAAAAACACATTTCCGTATTATGTTTCTTTCTCTCATTCACCCTTCGCGCTCCCTTTCTTTTCCGTACCCCATTAATTTCGCTCCACTCTCACCATTCCCTTCCCCCCACCCACCCACCCACTTTCCCACCCACTTTCCCTTCGAGGCGCCCCAAACCGTTGTGAAATTCAACAAAACTATAATGCGAAATGGTTCCATTTAATTGGAATTACAATATGACGTGCTGCGAAGCACCTGGTGAGTTTTCACCCCATTTTCCCATCCCCCACCCCCGCCCCAAAGGCATTCGCCACACAGCTAATCGACATCTTTTCCCTCGGCGCACAAAGGATGAGACAAAAATGCACCAACGGATAATTTCAAGGGGGAGATAATAAGATAAGCAGTGTTTAGAAGTGGAAAAAGCTTCAATTTCAACCAAATTGAGACATTTTCCTAATTAATTTTGCCTTAAAATCAATTTTATCGCCTTTTTTGAGGTTATGTTAATGATTTAAAACACTTTCTGGCGCTTAAAAAACCCTCAAAATTGTCAAATTTGTATTTATCATAGGAAATTTTCTCTTTTACCTTGATTTGTGTTCAACAAAACTCAATATTCGTTGAGAAAATGCTTTGAAGTTCAATCATAACCTAAAAAATTATGTTATTTTCGCAGTTTGTGCTTAGAAAAGTGACAAATTCAACCAGAATTTCATGTAAAAACCTTTTGATTTTGGCTTTTTTCACTCATTTTCAGATTCAAAAGAATTAAAAATCAATTGAATCGCCTTTTTTGAGATTATGTTAAATTTAAAACAGATTAAATTGTCAAATTTCTCAGTTTCTTGACAGATTTCAGTATTTTTGTGCGAAAAAACTTCATATTGATTGAGAAAAAGCCTTAAAGTCAAACATAACCTCAAAAATATCACTTAAATTTGGTTATTTTTGCGGTTTTTTACTTTAAATAAATATTTGTGCTGCAAAAACTTCAATTCCAACACATTTAAGCATTTTTTTTAATAATAATTTGGCCTAGAAAATTAAATTTAATCGCCTTTTTTTAGGTTATGTGATAAAAAAACCTTCAAAATCGGCTTATTTGTGTTCAAACTGAGAATTTTTCTCCTTTTTTGGCAAAATTAAGCATTTTCATTCGAAAAAACTTAAGATTAGGTTAGAAACTAACTTAAAAGTCAATCATAACCTCAAAAATATCACTTTAATTGCAGAAAAATGTCTTTTTGCCTTGGTTTTTTTTTACTATTTTCACTGTACAAGAATATTTGCACTCCAAAAGCTTCTGTTTCAACCACATGAAGGCATTTTTCTTATTACTTTGTCTAGAAACATCAATTTAGTCGCTTTGTTTTTAGGTCATGTTATAAAATAACCTTAAAAATCATCAAATTTCTGTTTAAACTGCAAATATTTATTTTTTTCTCTGTAGATTTCAGCATTTCGGATCGAAAAAACGTCATATTGAATTGAGAAAAAGCTTAAAAGTATTGAAATGATTTCATAACCTCACAAAATATCGAATTTCAGACTAGAAAAGTGTTTCTTTGGGTTATTTTTCGTGGTTTTTTCGTAGAAACATTGACATATTTCACTATATTTACTCATTTTCAAAGAAAGAAATGCTTATTCAAAGTCAAAATTGTCCAAAAAGTTTTCTAAATGACAATTTTTGAGGTTATGTACGAACTTAGCACAATTTTCTGTGTTTCTTGGCATCAAAAGATCAAAAAAAAGCACTGTTAATTGTTCGCAAATGCTTAATTCTGTCAATTATTGGTAAAATTAACATTCTAGAATGTTAATTATTCACTAAATCTGTTCTTAATTCGTCTACATAACCTAAAAAAATGATTATTTTGTTTGTTTCTGCGTAAAAATCGATGGAAATTCAAAGAATCTGGATGATTTGTCAGTGGAAGAAGTATTTAAGAAATGAATATTGAAGGTTTTTCAACACTTTTCACTTCTTCAGTACTTCTGAATTGTATTATCTCCCCCTTGGATGATTCAATAGCAACTGACCGAAGCCCCACAGAGTCTTTCAGACGAGAGTCAAAGAGTCCAAATGAAATGAGAAGATGTAGAAGGATTTCCCTCAGGAGTCAGATTACCCAAGATAATGGACAGCAATAATGGCTTTATTTGGCGGGAAAAAGAGGGGAATTTCATCAGATCCACACCGTGAAGCACAGAGCTTCACCTTCTTGTACTCGCTTTGTGAAGCAATAAAAATACATCAGAGAAAATCCCCCGCAGGGGAAGATTGAGGAAAAAGGGTTTCCATATGAATTACACCCACGCCGCATCATAAAATCCTCCTCATCTTTTCCCTATTACGCGTCCAGGGGCCAAAATCCCACCCCCTCCCTTCCTCCCACAGATGGGATTCTCCTGGAGAGATAATGCCGAGGATTTATGAACCCAGTTTGCTGTCTTCCTCTGGGCCACGCATAAATTCAGTCACTAATACGTTGTCTTGACCACACACTGACGACACGCCAAATAATTGTGTGTACCTTCTTGAGCACATTGTCAAAGGTTCTTGCCAAGGGGACAATCAATCGCGCAAGTTGAAACCATTAACTTTGTGGTTATTCAATCATTTTTCTCGAATTTCTCGTGATTTTTATTCGAATTTTGATGATTTTTTGAATATTTTTTATTATTTCCTTATTATTTAATTAAAATTGAATGTTTTATACAAAATTAGTTTTTTTTTTTAATATTTTTGGATATTTGATTAAAATTCAGATTATTTTGCAAATTTTGATTATTTCAATGAAATTTTGATTATTTTCTGAATATTTATTATTAAAATTTGTTTATTTTATACAAATTCTGATTATTTTTTGATTATTTGATTTTTTTAAATTCAAATTATGATTATTTAATTAAAAAATCAGATTATTTTTTATTGAATTCAAAAAAAAAAAATCAAAATTTGATAAATAAATTGAATAAATAATTTTTCTTTTTATTCAAATTTTGATTATTTCATAGCAAAAATTGGATTATTTTTTGATTATTTTCTAAATATTTACCTATTCGGGAAATAATTTGAATTCATTGATTAAAAAAAATCTTTTTTTTATTTTTTATTTAGAATTTGTTTATTTTTGAAGTTTACTTTGAAAAATATTTATTTTTTTTATTATTATTTTATTGAAAATTTGATTATTTTGCAATTTTTATTTGGAAAACAATAATTTTTTAATTATGTTATTCTCAATATGATTATTTTTCAAAACCTTCTTGAGAAAATAATCATTTTTTTAATTATTCATTTCAGTATTTAATTATTTTAATTTTTTTTATAATAAAATTTGGGAAAAAAATAATTTTTTGTATAATTATTTTTCAATTTTTGTTTGAGAAAATATTAATTTTTTAACCATTTAATTCAGAATTTGTTTTTTTTTTTGTTTTTTTTGTGATTTTACTCAAGAAAAAAATCTTTTTTTGGTTTTTTATTTAAAATTAGATTTTTTTCAATTTTAGGTGAGAAAAAATCTCTTTTTTGATTATTTAAATCATAATTTGATTATTTTCATTGTTTTTCAATTTTACTTAGAAAAATAAACATTTTTTAATATTATTTTATTCAAAATTTGATTATTTTGCAATTTTTCCATGGGAAAATTGGAATTCAGCATGGAATCTTCCATGCTGAATTCCATAGGATTTTCCTTGTTGATCCACGGAGTTCCGAGGAATTTTCCATGGATTATCCATTGGACATTCCACGGATTTTCGCCATAGGATTCTCTTACCCGTCTTGTTGTCGTCGCGACTGATGAACTCCTGTTCCAGTTCGACACGGCGATTCCTCAGCTGTTCCGCCAGTTCGCGAATGGCCGAACTCTCCACCAGTCCGACGCGCTGTCTGAAGGTGAGCTTGCGCGTCTTGGACGCCGCGGCGGTGTACTGCACAAAGTGGATGTCCAGCTGAGGGTCGAGCTTCAGGTAAGCGCCCTTGTTGGAGCCAATTTCGTAGTAGTTGGAGGCGGAGAAGATGGTTATGACCTGAAGGAGAAGCATTAACCTTTGATGTTTATATACCTTCGCATCGGAATTAACAAGGGGCTAATCACTGGCGCAAGTCGAGACCATTAACTTTGTTGTGATTATTCAATCAGTTTTCTTTGATTTTTTCACACAATTTCTGATTTTTTTTTTTATTATTTTCTGAATATTTCATTAAAATTTGATTTTTAAAAAAATATTTTTTGGTTATTTTCTGATTATTTAATAAAAATTGAATTTTTAATACAAAATTCTGATTATTTTTTGATTATTTTTTGTAAATTTCATTAAAATTTGATTATTTTTTGAATATTTTTGGATTATTGAATTAAAATTGAATTTTTTATACGAAATTCTGATTATTTTTTATTATTTCATTGTAATTTGATTATTTTCTGAATATTTTTTATTATTTTCTGAATATTTCATTAAAATTTGATAATTTATTGAATATTTATAAATATTCTGATTCATTAGCTGAAATTTTTTTTTGATATTTTATTTATCAATTTTTCTTTTGGAAACATTTTTTTATTTTATTCAAATTTGATTATTTTGCACTTTTAACTTGGAAAAATAATCGTTTTTACATATTATATCAAATTTGTTTTTTCAATTTTACTTGGGAAAAATCATTTTATTAATCTTTTATTCAAAATTTGTTTTTTTCTTCAATTTTACTTGAAAAAACTTGTTTTTATATCCTTTTTATTCACAATTTTTATTATTTTCCAATATTTTAGCAAAAATCTTTTTTATATACTTTTTATTCAAAATTTGTTTATTTTTCAATTTTTCTTTGGAAAAATGATTTTTTTTTATTATTTTTTGATTCAAAATTTTATTATTTTTCAATTTTTCTTGGGAAAAAATAATTTTTTAATTCAAAATTTGATTATTTTTTCATTTTTTTGGCAAAAATCTTTTTTAATATTCTTTTTATTCAAAATTTGATTTTTTCTCATTTTTTTCTTTGGAAAAATATCTTTTATTATTATTTTTTATTCAGAATTAGATTATTTTTCAATTTTTTTGGGAAAAAATTTTTTTTAATTCAAAATTTGATGTTTTTTCAATTCTTTCTTTGGAATTTTTTTTTTATTATTATATTTGATTACAATTTTTCAATTTTACTTTGGAAAAGTAATCATTTTCTTTTTTAATTATTCTTGATTCAAAATTTGCTCAATTGATCGCCTTGTGATTCGCCCCTTGGGTGGAATTGAATAGATCTTTGAGCGGAGCTTTTTCCACTCTCTCGAGTGGAAATTTGTGGAGCAGCAAAAAGTATGAAAGCGAGAAAGGCGACTTCCAACGGGTTCTTCTGATTATGATAGTTCTGGACTCTCTCTCTAGTTAATTTCAGGGGTTTTGGGGTGCTGGGGAGGGGGTGGGAGTTATGTTGTTTGAATCCCAAAGCTCAAATATCGCCAACATAGTGTGCTAAAGCAAATAATAAGCGCACAACGCCATTTATGCTGTTAAACTGCAAATTTTCCGAAATGTTTTATGGCAAATTTTACGATTTTCTTCCACTCTCTTAATAGGGAAAAACCCTAGCAAAAATTCACCCTTTAACCCAAAGCCACATGTGAAAGAAGCTGGAGTTATTCGGAGAATGCCAAGGGGCAAATAAACAAGGGGCGATTTTTAAGGAAACTTTTAATGTTGTCTAATCAAATAATCAATTATTTGAGTAAAATAATAAAAAAATGATTATTTTCTGAAATCAAATTGAACAATAATCAAAATCATCAAATTCTGAATAAAATAATTTAAAAAAAAATTTATTTACGCAATTAAAATTGAAAAATAATCAAATTGTGAATTAAAGAATCAAAAAACGAATTTTTTCCAAAGTAAAATTGCAAAATAATCAAATTTTGAATAAAAATTAATAAAAAAGTAATTTTTTCCAAGTAAAATATAAAAAATAATCACATTTTAATCAAATATTCAGAAAATAATTAAAAATATTCAAAAAATAATCAAATTTTAATGAAATATTCAGAAGATAACCAAAAAATAATCAGAATTTTGCATAAAAAATCAATTTTTAATCAAATATTCACAGAAAAAATCAAAAATTAACCAGAATTTGTATAAAATAATAAATTTTAATAATAAATATTCAGAAAATAACCAAAAAATAACCAGAATTTGTATGAAATTGACCCCTTGGCGAATGCAAACACATTTATTGACTTGTTATCTCGTCCCATGGAAATGCCATGGAATTTCCCATGTTCTGCTCAATCTGCCGAGGATTTTCCACTCACCCGTCCCTCGTGAATCATCTCGTGTCCGTCCGGCTTGCACTCGTGCGATCGCACGATGTACGTGAGCTTGTGCTTCGCCAGGAAGGTCTTGGTGACGTCGGGTCCGAAGTAGGTTCCGGCGCCGCGCAGGGAATTCGGACGGCATCCGTCGTTGTGCTGCGGATCACTCCACAGGATGTCGAAGACCTGCAAAGAGCGTTTCTCCGTCCATCAATTTGTCCTTCTCAAGGACGAGAGATAATATTCACACAACTTCAGCAGTGCTTAAAATATGCATTTTCCTTTATTTTCTTCACCTTTTAATCGGAGAAATATTAAAAAAATAATCAAATTTTAATGAATTATTCTGAAAATAATAAAAAAAATATACAAAAATTGAATTAAATATTCAGAAAATATTCAAAATTTAATCACATATTAAAGAAAATTATCAAAAATATTCAAAAACTAAATATATTTTAATAAAATATACAGAAAATAATCAAAAAATTATCAGAATTTTGTGCGAAATTATCAAAATTTGAATTTAAAAAACAAATAAGTAAATAATTTAAAATTTTGAATGAAATATTAAAAAAAAATTATTATTCTTCCAAGTAAGATTGAATAAAAAATTAAAATAATCAAATTATGATTTAAATAATAAAAAAAGAGAATATTTTCTCAATTGAAATTTAAAAAAAATTTAATTTTTTATAAATAATCAAAGAAAAAATTATTTTCCCGAGTAAAATCACAAAAAAAAACACACAAAATAACCAAATTCTGAATAAAATAGTTGAAAAATGAATATTTTCTAAAACAAAAATTGAAAAAAATTATTGTTTTCCCAAATAAAATTACATAAAAAATCAAAATAACCAAATATTGAATAAAATAATCAATAAAATGAATATTTTCTCAAGAAAATATTGAAAAATAATTATATTTTGAATAAAATAATCAAAGAAAAAATTCAAAATTCAATAATCAAATTAAAAAAAAATTATCAATTGCAAGACTTTGAATTGATCAAAAATTGCCACTGAAATCCTGCGATATATTTTGAGGAGGAAAATCAACAGATGGAAATTGTGGGCGGAAAAGTGTGACTTCGATGGAATTCCCAAAGAGGATTTGAGCCAACTTCCTCCGTCATTGATGGCTTTGCCAGAAATCTGTCAATTAGGCGTGAAAGGCGGAAAATCTCTGTCTTCCTCTGTCGCTTAAAGGACTGCAGGAAGTTTTCAAGTCAATATTGATTCTATGAGAACTCGACTGTGTCTGTGCGACTCACAATTATTCCTCCCAAGGGGCGAATCACAAGGCGCGATTCTTGAGGAAACTTAAAATTTTCTCTAAGCAAATAATCAAATTATTTCAGTGAAATAGTTTTAAAAAATGTTTATTTTTCCAATCAAAATTGAAAAATTATCAAATTTTGAATAAAATAATTTAAAAAAATGAATTTTTTCCAATAATAAATAAAATTAGAATAAAAACTAATTTAAAAAATGATTATTTTCCAAAGAAAAAATTAAAAAATTAAAAAAATTTTTAAAACATGTTTTTTTTTCAATTAAAATTGAAAAATTATCAAATTTTAAATTAAATAATCAAAAAATGATTTTTTTGCACTGTAAAATTGCAAAAAATTGAAAAAAATAAATTCTGAATAAAAACTAATAAAAAAAATTATTATTTTCCAAGTACAATTAAAAAATTATCAAATTTTATATTAAGGAACTTAAAAAAAATTTTTCTCGAGATAAAATTGAAAAAAATCAAATTTTGAAAAAAAATAATTAAAAAATAATTTTTTTCCAAGAAAAATGGAAAAAATCAAAGTTTGAATTAAATATTTAAAAAAAAATTATTTTTCAAAGTACAATTTAAAAAATAATCAAAAAATAATCAAATTTTAATAAAATAATTTGAAAATATTAAGAAAATAATCAGAATTTGTATAGAATAATCAAATTCTGAACAAAATATTCAGAAAAATATCAAAAATTAATTAAATATTTTTGAAATATTCAGAAAATAAACAGAATTTGTATAAAATAAACATTTTGTAATAAATATTAAGAAAATAATTTCAAAATAATGAGAATTTGTGTGAAAAAAATCAAGTTTTTAAATCAAATATTCAGAAAAGTATCAAAAATAATCAAATTTTATTAAATAATCAAAATTTGTGTGAAAAAAATCAAATATTGAATAAAATATTCAGGAAAATATCAAAGAATAATCAAAATTTGCGTAATAATCACAAACTTAAAGGTGTCAATTGGCGAGTGATTGACCCCTTGATTTCTTCCTTAACGAGAGACTCCTATAAACTCTCTCTCTCTCCCCTTAAACTTCTCTCTCTCTGTGTGACATTTTCATGTTAATGGCACTTTCCTCGAGGGCGTTTGATCACTAAAACTTTGACACAGAGTTGCAAAAGAGTTTATTGCAACAGTTGCAAGTATAATATTTTAACGTACAGTAAACAAAGGACTTTTCTACACAATTTTCATCCTACGCGCAAAACTTTCCACAGTCAAACTTCGAAGTTTGATATAATTTTAATTGGGGCATTTTGTGAGCGAAGCCCATGAAAGCATTGATGAGCTGAATTGAGAATATTTGGCGCGTGAAATGCAATATTCCTCATGTAAGCTTCCGTGCCCAAGGGGGAGATATTCTGACCGGAAGTAGTGTACAGCTTGAAAGGAAGTGTTTTGAAATGAAAGTGGCAAAATATATTGGAATATTTGCACTGAAAAAGCTTCCATTTCAACCAAATTGAAGCATTTTCCCACTAAATTTTGCTTAAAATCAATTTTATCGCCTTTTTGAGGTTATGTTATTGATTTGAAACACTTTCTGGCGCTTAAAAAACCCTCAAAATTGTCAAATTTGTATGTAAACTTAGAATTTTTCTGTTTTCCCTTGATTTGTGTTCAAAATAATTTAATATTGGTTGAGAAAATGCTTTGAAGTTCAATTATAACCTCAAAAATAATGGTTTTTTCGCAATTTGTGCTTTAAAAGTGACAAATTTAACCACAATTTCTTGTTGAAATTTTTTTTATATTAGCTTTTTTCACTCATTTTCAGATTCAGAAGGGTTAAAAATCAATTTTATTTCTTTTTTGAGGTTATGTTTAATTAAAAAATATATTAAATTATCAAATTTCTCTGTTTCTTGGCAGATTTGAGCATTTTTGTGCGCAAAAAACTTCAAATTGACTGAGAAAAAGCCTAAAAGTCAAACATAACCTCAAAAATATCACTTAAATTGCAGAAAATGTCTCTTTTTATTTTACAGGTTTTTTACTGCAAAAGCTTCCTTTTCAACAAATTGAGTATTTTTTCTTTACTAATTTTGCCCAAAAATCAATTTAATCCCTTTTTTGAGGTTATGTGATAAAAAAAACCCCTCAAAATCATCTAATTTGTGTTTAAACTGCAAATATTTCTCTTTTTCTCTGTAGATTTCAGCATTTCGGATCGAAAAAACGTCATATTGAATTGAGAAAAAGCTTAAAAGTATTGAAATGATTTCATAACCTCAAAAAAATCGACTTTCAGACTAGAAAAGTGTTTCTTTGGGTTATTTTTCGCGGTTTTTTCGTAGAAACATTGACAAATTTCACAATATTTACTCATTTTCAAGGTTTGGAGGGATTTAAATTAGTCGTAGAAGAATTTTCTAAGCAGATTTCATAACCTCACAATTTGATTCAATTGTGAAAAAGTCCAGAATTGAGTGTGAAAAACAGTTGATGGAGTGGAAAAAGCGATGGAAAATGCATTTTTAAGGGCGCTAAGAAGTGCTTTGGAAGTGTTGAAGATTCTGCAGAGGAATTGTGGCAGTGTTTAGCCGTATTATCTCCCCCTTGATATATTGTGTCTCTCTGCTATATTATCTCCCAATCGCGTGTTAAATATCCGCCAACGCAGAGCTTCACTGGTGTGTGAGAATTCTCTGGAAATGTCAGTGTGGCTGAGCGTGGAAAATGCCGCAATTCGACGGGTGCCGTGAAGACTATCAAAAGTCAAAATTATTTTTTTCCCATGAAAATTGAAAAATAATCAAATTTTGTATAAAATAATTAGAAAAATTATTATTTTTCTAAGTAAAATTGAAAAATAATCGAATTTTGAGAAAATAATTAAAAAAAAAAAGATTTTCCAAAGTAAAATTGAAAAAAAATCAAAATTATCAAAATATGATTTAAATAATAAAGAAAAAATTATTATTTTCTCAACTAAGATTGAAAAAAAAATCTAATTTTTATTAAATAATCAAAGAAAAAAATATTTCCCCGTTTAAAATCACAAAAAAAAACACAAAATGACCAAATTCTGAATAAAATAGTCAAAAAATCAATATTTTCTCAAACAAAAATTGAAAAATTTTGAAAAAAAAAATTTATTTTCCCAAATAAAATGACAAAAAATCAAAAAACCCAATTATTGAATGAAAAAATAAAAAAATGAATATTTTCTCAAGAAAATTTTGAAAAATAATTATATTTTGAATAAAATAATCACAAAATAATCAAATTCTTATGAAATATTCAGAAAATAATCAAAAAATAATCAAATTTAAAAAAAAACGACTTTTAACAGTTTTCGATTCACCCGTCGAATTGTTGTAATTAAAATTCAACTCGCCGCGCGACCCAATAATGGGCTCACGAGAGTCACGAGGGAAAAGCATGAACTCACTTGCTTCCACTCCACGCGGTCGATCATGTCCGCGCCCGGCGCGCCGCCCTCCATGATGGGCGGCCGCAGGAGCGACGCGTACTTGCCGCGGTCCAGGCTCTTCACCAGATCCAGATCCGTGGAGTCGGAGATGCCGCCGTGCACCACCAGCACGCGATTGTTCACGATGGTGCCCAGCGGCAGCCATCTGTACACGCCCTCGATCATCTTCAGCAGCCGCTCGGCGTTGTGCTTGTACTTCTGGTGCACCTCGCGGATGAAACCGTATCTGAAGGCATTCAGTGGATTTCTTAACATCTTCAAATAATCTCAAATCAATCAATATTTGGAAGGAAGACAAATTTATGGGGCTAAAAGTCGATGGAAATCGACTCGATGGACTTTTGCAGAAAAACCCCTTGGGATTCCTGCAGGGAAGTCAGTGCCTCTTTTCAATGGTTTTCCAGTGGACTTTCCTGCAGGAATTCCACAGGAAAATCAATTGAAAATCCTCCAAGGATTGAAAGAACCCAAAACGATGGATTTTCAATGGATTTTTCTGTAGGAATCCCACAGAAAAGTCAATTGAAAGTCCTCCAAGGATTAATTGGACACAAAACGATGGATTTTCAGTGGATATTTGCCAGGAATCCCGCAGGAAAGTCAATTGAAAATAATTTTTTTTTCGGTTTTTTTTTATTTAAAATTAAATTATTTTTCAATTTTATTTAGAAAAATAATCTTTTTTTAATTATTTTATTGAGAATTAAATAATTTTTCAATTTTACTCGCAAAAATATTATTTTTTCAATTATTTTTTATTCAAAATTATAACTATTTTTTAAATTTTACTTAGGAAAATAATTTTTTTGGTTATTTTATTCAAAATTAAATTATTTTTCAATTTTATTTAGAAAAATAATCTTTTTTAAATTATTTTATTGAGAATTAAATAATTTTTCAATTTTACTCGCAAAAATATTATTTTTTCAATTATTTTTTATTCAAAATTATAACTATTTTTTAAATGTTACCTAGGAAAATAATTTTTTTTGATTATTTTATTCAAAATTAAATTATTTTTCAAATTTATTTGGGAAAATAATTTTTTTCCGGTTTTTTTATTCAAAATTAAATAATTTTTCAATTTTATTTAGAAAAATAATCATTTTTTATATTATTTTATTGAGAATTAAATTATTTTCCTATTTTACTCGCAAAAATATTCATTTTTAAATTACTTTTTATTCAAAATTTGATTATTTTTCAATTTGTCTTGGGAAAATAATCATTTTTTGATTATTTTCCTCAAATATTTGATTGATTTGCCCCTTGTGCAGAGTAAAGCACAAGCTCAGCCTTACCTGGCGTTCATCACGGAGTCCTCGTGATTGCCACGGTTGAGGAACACGCCGCCGGGATAGACGAGGAGGCAGGCGAGCAGGAGGAGAAACACTTCCAGACTCTTCTTCCCACGGTCCACAAAGTCTCCATTGAACACATAGGGATTTTCGGGCGATGGAAGTCCATTCTGCAGACGAACAAAAGAGAGACCATTTGGAATTATCCATCAGGTGATATGTATATATGTACATCTGTCACAGGACAATTGTTCTTCGTCGCCAAAGCGCCATGACGATGATAAATCGCGAAGGGTGAGAAAACTTCATGTCACACATAAATATTTATACAGCCAGAGGAAATATCACTGGAAGTTTTGCCCGGCAATAAAAATATCAATGGAATTGCTCCCAAAGCCCCAAACGGGGACTCAGCAAGCGAGAGATAGAGAGAGACAAGGGGGAGATAATACAGTCCAGAAGTGGTGTACAAGTTCAGCAGGAGTATTTAAGAAGTGGAAGTGTTGAAAAACCTTCAAAATTTCATTCCTAATCATCAAAATTCACTGAATTTCCTTCGATTTTCATGCAGAAACAAACGAAATAATCTTTTTTCTAGGTTATGTAGACGAATTAAGGACAGATTTAGCAAATAATTCGCATTCTAGAAAGTAAATTCTTCTTAAAATAATCTTTTGCAAGAAAATAACAGTGTTTTTTTTTATCTTTTGATGCCAAAATACACTGCAAATTGTGTTTAGATCGAACATAACCTCAAAAACAGTCAATTTTACTTGAAAAATGCTAATTTAGAAAGCTTTTTGTTACAATTATGACTCTGGAACAGCAGTTTTAAGTTCATTAGCAGATCTAGAATGTTTTCAATCTGAATTTTTAAAGATCTTTCAGTGACATTTTGAGGTTATGGTCGGAAAAGACACACAAAAAAGCGATTTTAAGTGAATTCTGACACAAATATCGAATGGAAACTTAATACAACATAATCTTTTCTTTGAATTGGACTCTTTTAATGCCAAGAATGCCCTAAATTGTGCTAAGATCGAACATAACCTTAAAATTATCATCTTTTTGGACAATTTTGTCATAAATTCACATAAATTCTGCTAGTCTTTGGCAGAATTAAGCATTTGCAAACGATTTACAGTGATTTTTTGATCTTTTGATGCCAAGAAACACAGAAAATTGTGCTAAGATCGAACATAACCTCAAAAATTGTCATTTACAAAGCTTTTTCGGGAAATTTTGACTCTGAATAAGTATTTCTTTCTTTGAAAATGAGTAAATATAGTGAAATATCTCAATGTTTCTACGAAAAAAACCGCGAAAAATAACCCAAAGAAATACTTTTCTAGTCTGAAATTCGATATTTTTTGAGGTTATGAAATCATTTCAATACTTTTAAGCTTTTTCTCAATTCAATATGACGTTTTTTCGATCCGAAATGCTGAAATCTACAGAGAAAAAGAGAAAAATTCTCTGTTTAAACAGAAATTTGATGATTTTGAAGGTTATTTTATAACATAACCTAAAAACAAAGCGATCAAATTCAATTTTCTAGACAAAGATATAAGAAAAATGCCACCATTTGGTTGAAACAGAAGCTTTTGCAGTGCAAATATTCTTGTACAGTGAAAACCGCGAACATAACCTAGAAAAAGAGACATTTTTCTTCAATTTAAGTGATATTTTTGAGGTTATGTTTGACTTTTAGGCTTTTTCTCAATCAATATGAAGTTTTTTCCGCACAAAAATGCTCAAATCTGTCAAGAAATAGTGAAATTTGATAATTTAATCTGTTTTGCAAGTTAAACATAACCTCAAAAAAGCGATAAAAGTGATTTTTAAGCTAAATTTAGTGGGAAAATGCCTGAATTTGGTTGAATTGGAAGCTTAAGACCACAAATTTCTCATTTTCAAGAAGTGTTCAGGCAAGTTTGGAAGTGTTGAAGGCATATTATCTCCCCCTTGGAGAGCGAAAGCGAGAGAGAGAGAGAGAGCTTTACCGCCACCCCACAAAAAGATGCGATCGAGGGACTTGAAATGTGGACGGAGGATTTTCGAGAGTCCAGCAAGCAAATCCTCCACTCAAGAAGTGGAAAATGGTGGATTTTATGGCTGTCACTTTGCTGAAACGATGTTGCTTTTTTTCTTTACAACGACACGACAAGACAAATGCACTCAGAAGAAGCGGTCTTTGAGTTTCACATGATACATATGTATGTACAGTTACTCCAAATTAAATAGAGCCACCCTGGGAATTAGGGAATTCCTGCCATTGATATTTGTTTTTTGGGGTTTTACCAAGATTTCAACGAAACCGAGGTTGCAACGATCAGCCGTAATTGTATTAATAACCTTATTAACGTAACAACCAATTATTAATACAGTGAAATTGAAAAATAATCAGATTTTAAATAAAATTAATAATCAAAAATTGAATATTTTCCCAAGTAAGATTGAAAAGAATTAAAAAAATCAAATTTTGAATAAAAAAAACCAAAATAAAAGAATTTTTTACCATGTAAAATTACATAATAATCAAATTCTGAATATAAAGATTAAAAAAAAATTATTATTTTCCCACGTAAAATTGAAAAAATGATCAAATTCTGTATTAAATAATAAAAAAATGTTTTTTTTTTAAATTAATCAATGATTTTTGAATTATGTTCAAAATGTGAATTAATATTCAGAAAGAAATTTAAAAAAAAACCGGAATTTGTATAAAATAATCAATTTTTTAATGAAATATTCAGAAAATATTCAAAAATTATCAGAATTTGAACAAAAAAAAAACAATTTTCAATTAAATATACAGAAAATAATCAAAACTTTGTATGAAATATTTAAAATTTCAATTAAAATCACAAATAATTCAAAAATAAACAGAATTTGTATGAAAAAAAAACAATTTTTAATCAAATATTCAGGAAAACAATAAAAAAAATCTAAATTTTCCATAAAATAATATAAATTTAAATTAAAATCGCTAATAATTAAAAAAAAATAGGGGTAAGTGGGGCAGCTTCAGATTCAAAATGCTGTTCCAACTTTAGGATTTTTTCTTGAAAAATCGGCTGAATATATTGAAATGATCACAACGCTCAAATAAACTCTCGTCTATTGAGCTTCAGAAAATGCCTTTCATTGAGCATTAAAACTGATCCTTTTTCCTCTAAAAGAGGAATGAAAATAATATTGTAATTTATCTGAAACTGCCCCGCACGGGGATGTTTCGGATTGCTCTGGGGCAGCTTCAGATTTTCACTTATATTTACCATAAATTCCATTGTGGAATTGTAGAATCGCGGACAAATGATCACTTTGATATCTCTTCTACGCACTGAAACTGTTTAATTCCCTAAAAATCGCCTTTAAAGTACTATTTTCGCGACTTTTCTGGACCCTTGCACGGACTGTCAAAATGTCTGAGCGAAAAGCAAGTTGCCCGTCATTTTTCCTGTATCGCAACGCCACCATGCGTGAGTGGTGGCAACTTCAGTGCCACCACAAATCAAATCAGTGCAAATCAGTGTTTTTCGCGTGTATTTTCTCACTTTTCCACTAAGAAGTCGTTTAACGTGATGAAGCAATGCAGCACAGAACGGCACTTTGTGAAAAATCTTCAATATTTGCCACAAGAAAATTTCGACCGTGATGTTGCGTCAGACTGTCAGAGCGCGCTGTTGTCAGTCCGTGGCGATCCGAAACTGCCCCGTGTGCAGTGTTTGTGCATTTTCCACCACCCACTGAAAAGGCCGTGCCAAGGAGGAAAAGTTCGGGCACATTTAGAATCTCTACTTAACTCTCAATAACCTTTGATTGTGTTTCACGCGAATTGTGGCTTTTTTAATGGAGAAAACACGCAATCAATTCGGCAGCAAAATTCTAGTTTGTGAGTGATTTTCAATTTTCACTTATTTTATCTAAACAGTAAATCAAATCCTGTGCAAATTTTCGTCAATTGTAGTCCTTAAGGACTACAAACATTGTGTGAAGACCAGGAATTTATTCATGTAAAAATCACTGAGAAAATTAAGAAATCTGAAGCTGCCCCAATCTGAAGCTGCCCCATTTACCCCTAATCAGAATCCTAATCAAAATTTGAATTAAAATCACAAATAATAAAACATAATAAAAATTTGTATGAAAAAAAACATTTCTTAATCAAATAAGGAAAACAATAAAAAATATTCAAAAATCATCAGAATTTGTTTGAAATAATCAAAATTTGAATTAAATATTCAGAAAATATTCAAAAAATTTAAAAAAAAAACAGAATTTGTATAAAATATTCAAAATTTGAATTAAAATCACAGATAATTAAAAAATAATCGGAATTTGTATGGAAAAAAAACTATTTTTATGAAATATTTAGAAAATATTAAAAAAAATAATTTTTAATTAAAAATTTTAGGAAAACAATGAAATAATAATGAAAAATAATCAAAAAATAATCAGAATTTGTATAAAATAAACAATTTAAATAATTTTTTACTTGAACTGTATTAAAATAATGAAAATATCCTGAACTTTGTGAAAATTGCTTTAAAGAATTCAGTGCTAAAAATATATAGAAACAGAAAAAATTCCCGCTCATCAAAAATGCTGTTCCAACTTTAGGATTTTTTCTTGAAAAATCGACTAAATATATTGAAATGATCACAACGCTCAAATAAACTCTCGTCTATTGAGCTTCAGAAAATGCCTTTCATTGGGCATTAAAACTGATCCTTTTTCCTCTAAAGGAGAATGAAAATAATATTGTAATTAATCTGAAACTGCCCCGCACGGGGATGTTTCGGATTGCTCTGGGGCAGTTTCAGATTTTCACTTATATTTACCATAAATTCCATTGTGGAATTGTAGAATCGCGGACAAATGATCACTTTGGTTTCTAATCTACACACTGAAACTGTTTATTTCGCTAAAAATCGCCTTTAAATTAATATTTTCGCGACTTTTCTGGACCCTTGCACGCACTGTCAAAATGTCTGAGCGAAAAGCAAGTTGCCCGTCATTTTTCCTGTGTCGCAACGCCACCATGCGTGAGTGGTGGCAACTTCAGTGCCACCACAAATCAAATCAGTGCAAATCAGTGTTTTTCGCGTGTATTTTCTCACTTTTCCACTAAGAAGTCGTTTAACGTGATGAAGCAATGCAGCACAGA